GGGTTACGGGAGGTGAGGATGAGGGGTGAGGCGGTGAGTCTCCTGTGGAGCACTTAGGTTTATGCCCATGCCTCCTCCTCCTCCTGACACACAGTTTTCTTCTTTCCTTGCCCTCTCTTCAGAAAGGAGCTCAAGGGACCTTTAAATTGGGTGAATTGGGAAGATCCTGACACAGGCACAGACAGGTTTTAGGGAGGTAAACAGTGTAGTACCTTAGGCTAATTGTGTGGGAGGACCCCATTTCTACCTCTGAACTTGAAGGGCAGGGAACAGGCAACGGTGGCCGGCTTAGAGCAGGAAGCTCGAAGGAGAGGGCTGAAGCAGGGAAGTCCCTGTAGCCAATGCAGATTGGCACAGGGGCCCCCAGGGACATGGACACCTTACTTTGCCTTCTTTTCTTTCCAGTCTTCTGTCACTGTACCTCACTTGGCTCTAAAGCCATCTGGCACAGGAGGCCAAGGCAGTCTGTTGATGTGATGTACAGCCCAGCTTAGGGACACAGAACCCTGGAGAAAGCGTGTGGAGTGGTCTGGATATCTGGTTTCTCTGCCAGCTCCCACCCTGTGAAGTCAAATGCTGGGAGAGCCATGTGTTGTGAACGGGACACCTCTCTGCAGTCTGCTTGTTGCTCCAGACATGTGCAATTCTAAATACGATTTCTGACATTCTCTCCACTGGTACTTACTAAAGAGTGACTTTGATAGAATACAAGATGGCAATTAATCTACTAAATCTTGTCCTTTCTTCTTATCAGTCTTACCTACATTGTTCTCTCACAAATCTTGACACTGATAAATATTCCCAAGCTTTTACATGACAGGTAATATTGCTGCTGAAAAGAGGAAAACATTTAAAAATTAATGGATGGCAGAAATTATCAGAGAAATCATGAATCACAATTTCCTTTTCATGCTAGAAAAGAGGAACAGTCAAAAAAAGGCAAATGTATAAGTAATCAGATTTTCCTAAAATTTTTCAGAGGCTATTTGTAAGTTATCTTGATTCACCCTCATACTTTATATCACAATAATGTATATTCCTGATTTCTTTATTTTTTTCTTTTGTAACCATCTCTACCTCCTTACGGTTTTAATGATGTGATGATGATCATACTGTATCAGTGGTAAACATTAGTACTTTAAAGTTTTGTTTATTTATTTGAAAATCAGAGTTATAGAGAGAGGGAGAGAAGAGATCTTCCATCCAATGGTTCACTCCCTAGATGGTTGCAATGGTCAGCACTGCGCCAGGCCAAAGCGAGGAGCCAGGAGCTTCTTCTGGGTCTCCCATGAAGGTACCAAAGGCCCAAACACTTGTGTCCTCTTCCGCTGTTCTCCCTAGGCCATTAGTAGAGAGCTGCATCAGAAGTGGAGCAGCCAGGACACGACCTGGTACCCACATGGGAAGCTCGCTTCACAAGCTGCAGCTTTACTCGCTATACCACAATGCCAGCTCCCTGTAATGCTTTTTTAAATTAGTTATTTGACATACAATTTTATTCTGATTTTAAACGAATGCACAATGGGAACAAGAGTAAGATTGTACCACCAAATATTATTATGCGACTGTAGCAGTCTTATACATAAGAAGAAAACAACTGCATTTTTTTTTTTTGACAGGCAGAGTGGGCAGTGAGAGAGAGAGACAGAGAGAAAGGTCTTCCTTTTGCTGTTGGTTCACCCTCCAATGGCCACCGTGGCCGGCGCACCGCGCTGATCCGATGGCAGGAGCCAGGTGCTTTTCCTGGTCTCCCATGGGGTGCAGGGCCCAAGGACTTGGGCCATCCTCCACTGCACTCCCTGGCCACAGCAGAGAGCTGGCCTGGAAGAGGGGCAACCGGGACGATAGAATCCGGCGCCCCGACCGGGACTAGAACCCGGTGTGCCGGTGCCGTTGGGCAGAGGATTAGCCTAGTGAGCCGCGGCGCCGGCCAACAACTGCATTTCAAAATAGCTGAATCTGCAGGTCTGAAAGATGAAGGTGTTCTCTCTGAAGCCCACTTGTCTCTTTCTGCATCCCAAGCTCCTGTTGTGCTCACTGCATCACTGGGTGGGACAACACTGCACCGTGACATTGCCACGCAGTTGCCCATGACCCTTGGCCTTCTGATGCTGGGCCTCCACTTCCTCTTCCCATGGGGAGTCTCATCCCAGAGAGCAGTTTTCTGAGAAGCTTCTAAATCGTTCTTGTGCTCTGCTGCCAGATCTGGGTCCCTGACAGTGATGGAGCAGGAACAGGCAACAAGCTCCGAGTGTGAATTTCCAGTGAGTTGTCCAGCAAACCATAGGAAGGGCTTTTCAAAGTTGGCGCTAAATGTCTTTTCTTTAGTTGGCAGAAATGTTGGTGAACTGAAGGCTCATCTTTTGTTGTAAGACAGTAGATTTTGCCTTCACTTTCCTGTCTAGTTTCCATGTTGTCCTCTCACAGTATTAGGGACGTGGGTTTGTGTCCTTGTGCCAGGTTTCTGTGCCAGTTAAGCACATACTTGTAAGTGACTCTCAGTGTTACTTGAGACATTATAATGACACGCTGGGATTGCCTGGAATAGCCATTTACCAGTCCACCCAATTTTCCTTGGCCAGTTGTTCCAGTCATTGCACAGAATAGATGCTCTGTTGGTGTGAAACCCAAGGAGATGGACCTCAACACCCAAGGTGGCTACAAACTTCTCAGATTCACCAGTCAAGTGATGTCATGAATATAGCTTTAATTTTTTTTTAAGATTTATCTATTTATTTGAAAGGCAGAGAGAGAGAGAGAGAGAGAGAGAGAGAGAGGTCTTACATCTGCTGTTCACTCCCCAGAGGGCTGCAATGGCTGGAGCTTTGCCAATCTGAAGCCAGGAGCCAGGAGCTTCTTCTGGGTCTTCCACGTGGGTGCAGAGGCCCACAGACCCAGGCTGTTCTCCATTGCCTTCCTAGGCCATAGCAGAGAGCTGGATCAGAGGCAGAGCAGCTGGGACTCAAACTGGTGCCCACATGGGAGGCCAGTGCTGCAGACCGGGGCTTTAACCACAGTGCTGGCCCTGAGTATAGCTTTTCAATACCACTGTCACCAACCAGCACATTGGAACTGAACTTGGGATTCTTCTTGGGCAGCGATTGTGATGCTCCTTCCAGAAGATTCTCCATGCCCATCTGACTGCGTATTCTTTCATTCTCTGTAAAATGCTGTGATGTACACTCAATTGATGTTAATATCGTTTGAAAGTTAAGAAAATTGAAGCTCAAGGGGACACACATTAATCTCTAAGGTGGATTTTTAAAATAATATTTTTAATTTGAAAGAGACAAAAAGGCACACACACACACACAGAGCATGAGAGAGAGAGAGAGAGAGAGAGAGAGAGAGAGAATGCTTCCATACATTGGTTCACTTCCCAGATGGCCTCAATGACCTGAGCTGGGCGCTAAAGCCAGGAGCCAGGAGCTTCCTCTGGGTCTCCTACGTGGGTGCAGGGGCCCAGACACACGTTTCATCTTCTGCTGCTTTCTCAGGCCATCAGCAGGGAGCTGGGTCAGAAGTGGAGCAACTGGGATATGGGATGCGGGCATTGCAGGTGGTGGCTTTACCTGCTACACTGCAACACTGGCCCCTATAAGGTAGATTTTATGATAAAAAGCACATAACACAAGACCTACTGATTTAACATAAATTTCTCTCTACCTTGTAAACAAATGCTGTGCACAGCACACTGAGGTTAACTCCAGGCACAGTGCACACAGCTGGTCTCTAGAGCGTTTTCATCTTGCATGACTGAAACTCTGTGCTCACTGAGCAGCACTACTCATTTCTCCCCTCCTCCATCCGTGGCAGCCACCACTTTAATTTCTGTTCCAACACTTCTATGCTCATTTTCTTTAATTTTTAATTTGCTTTCAAAATATAGTGTAAAATTGTCTTTGTGACTGTTATTCTACCTTTTAACTGTAGATTCTTCTCTATGAATCATATAACTATATTAATCATAAGTGAAATAGTTCTGTTAGCAGAGGTTACTGAAGTAGAGGTTCTTGTCTTCATGCTAGAAAGAATTCATATGTGAGAGAGAGTAGTGGTAAGCGAGGTAGAAGGTTTTGGGGGACAAGGCATCTGTCTCTCCAGACAGATCTGAGGGGGGTGCCCAGTCCTTCAGACTGGGGTGAGCAAGATTACATAGTTTAATGGAAAGAATATACCCGATGGGCCGGGTGGGCATCTCAGCAAAGAACAGAGAGCTGAGAGCTAGAGCAACACATCTGATAGACCAGGTGGGTGTCTCAGGAAAGAGCTGTGTGCACAACCTGTATTTAGACTGGGGCTCAGAAGGGAACAGGGTCCAGGTCTGTCCAATCCCCCCCCCCCCACTGTATTCTCCTGGAAAAAGGGGTTGTTGGGTCTGAAATTAATGAAATTTCCCCCAAGGTTTTATTGCCACATGTTATCAGACTGGGTAGCCCATTGGGGACTGGGCAGAGAGGTCTCTGTCTTGAGTTGCTTTCCTTGGGGGAAGGCTGGACCACCTATGAAGTTACTGGGGTATGGGCAGGGCAGGACTTTGTAGAATAAGATACTGGGCTGCTTCCAAGGCATGCTTCTGAGACTGCTAGAGGCTGCTCCACTCCTTTCCACAAGGGCTTTGTTTTCCTTAGGCCACTCACATATATAGGCTGACTTAGATCTTCCTAACTAACAGTTCAAACAATGGGAAAATATGAGACACCTGTATATCCCTCCCCTAGCTTGATCAGATCTTAATGTTTCCCCATGGTGGGCTCAGATTAAATATTTTTTTTTTTTAACAAAATAGAAGATCCTAGGTACGGTTGAAATCCTCAGCTCTCGTTGCTAATCCAGGTCTTCTTGCTTTCCTAGTGGTGACTACTATATTGAACTTGGTGTTTACAAGTCACATGTGTCTTTCAAAGTTTCAACCAGGGCCAGCTTTATGGGCACACAACCTGTGCAGTGGCACAGCCGCATGGTTGGTGTATTGCTCTGCTGTTGCAGTTTCGAAATTGCAGTAATTTTTAACCAAGGAAAATGTTTTGTAAGAGTGAAAAGTTGGTGGGACACTGAACGCTGACATTCAGACAGATGAAAGGCAGAATGCTGTCACTTGCAGGTATCCCTGCGAGGAGGATGTCATACAGGGCCGCACAAAGGTTGCTCCAGAGATAGGGAAGCAGCAAGCTGGAGCTGTCAGAGGCAACTTATGTAAGGTAAGGGAGTGGTGTAGCTAGGTTTCCTGGTACCCTGTGATGGGATAATTTGAATAATTTCACCTGATCTGGGGCTGTCCTTAGTTGTCTGGTAACTGGCCCCAGAGTGTTGGATCCCCATATGGGAAGTGCTTGGGGTATGTACATGGTGGCCCTGGAGATCACGAATCTGACACAGATGTAGTTGGAGTGGGGGCTTAGCAAACTTCCAGTGAAAGGAAATTGAGATTTCTAGCCATCACATCTTAAGAGGGTCAAGACAACACTTGCAAAATACCGTATTACATTTTCATTTTGCATTAGCCCTGCAAATTTTGTAAGCAGTCCTGATTATAACTATGTATTTATCCATAAACATTTTATAGTACTGTTTTGCCTGCTCTTGAACTTGATAGACACTTAGGTTGTTTCAATGTTTCTGTTTGAACACTGTTTTCCTGTGGCTTCTACCCAGGAAGATAGCTTGGCTGGCTATAAACATCGCTCACCCATTCCTCCTTGAGGATCCTGTAGGCATTGCTCTACCATTTCTTGGCTTAAGTGTTGCTGTGGGGGCCGGTGTCGCAGCTCACTAGGCTAATCCTCTGCCTCCGGCGCTGGCACACCGGGTTCTGTCCCGGTTGCCCCTCTTCCAGGCCAGCTCTCTGCTGTGGCCCGGGAGGGCAGTGGAGGTTGGTCCAAGTGCTTGGGCCCTGCACCCCATGGGAGACCAGGAGAAGCACCTGGCTCCTGCCATTGGATCAGCGCGGTGCGCCGGCTGCGGCGGCCATTGGAGGGTGAACCAACGGCAAAGGAAGACCTTTCTCTCTGTCTCTCTCTCTCGCCCCCTGTCCACTCTGCCTGTAAAAAAAAAAAAAAATGTTGCGGTGGTAAAAGCTAATTTGAGGTTGGTTTGAGGTTAGTGCTGTATCTTATTGTTGTCTTCATTAATTTGCCTGGCAAACTAAATAATTCTCTTTTAAAAACCTTTAAAGTCCAGTGACTTTCATAAGATTTGTCTCAGTGATGACTATTTTGGGTCAGTTTTCATACTTATATACTATGCCATTTCAACATATAAAATTTACTTCAAGAAAATTTTCTTGAATTATAATTTCAAAATTTTTTTTCTGATATGCTGTTTTTTTTTTTTTTAATGTATGTATTTATTTAAGAGGAAGAGAGAGAAAAAGAGAGAGAGTGCTCCTAACTGCTAGTTCACTCCCCAAATGCCTGTGATGGACGCAGCTGGGCGGGGCATGGAGCCAGGTGCTGGAAGGCAATCCAGGTCTCTCAGTGGGTGGCAGGGGCCTAATCACGTGGGCTGTCTCCAGTGCCTCTCAGGGTTTATGTTGACCGGAAGTGGTCAGGAGCCAGAGGCAGGCGTCAAATCCAGGTATGTTCATGTGGGATATGAGTGTCTTAACTGCTAGGCTAAACACTCTCCTATTTTTTTTCTTTTTTTGAGGCAATTATGTTGTGGACTCATTGATTTTTTTTTTTTTTTTCATTTGACAGGCAGAGTTAGACAGTAAGAGAGAGAGACAGAGAGAAAGGTCTTCCTTCTGTTTATTCACCCCCCAAATGGCTGCCACGGCCGGCGCACTGCGCTGATCCAAAGCCAGGAGCCAGGTGCTTCTCCTGGTCTCCCATGGGGTGCAGGGCCCAAGCACTTGGGCCATCCTCCACTGCACTCCCGGGCCACAGCAGAGAGCTGGCCTGGAAGAGGGGCAACCGAGACAGAATCCGGCGCCCCAACGGGGACTAGAACCCAGGGTGCCGGTGCCGCAGGTGGAGGATTAGCCTAGTGAGCCATGGCGCCGGCCCTCATTGATCTCAGATCTCTCAATATCTTCCTCTTTTGTCAAACTCTTTCTTTAATCCCCTTATGTTGATTGCTTTTCTAATACCTATAGCCTACTTTAATCACTGCTTTTCACTCATAATGCTTTTCCTTTTTTAATTTTGTCCTCATCCATATGTTTATATAAAATTTCTTTCCTGAGTTCTCATAATACTCAATTCACCTCAGCGTTTTTTTTTTTTTTTAATTTTATTTTTTTATTTTTTTTTTTGACAGGCAGAGTGGACAGTGAGAGAGAGAGAGACAGAGAGAAAGGTATTCCTTTTGCCATTGGTTCACCCTCCAATGGCCGCCGCAGCCGGCGCACTGCGCTGATCCAATGGCAGGAGCCAGGTACTTCTCCTGGTCTCCCATGGGGTGCAGGGCCCAAGCACTTGGGCCAACCTCCACTGCACTCCCGGGCCACAGCAGAGAGCTGGCCTGGAAGAGGGGCAACCAGGACAGAATCCAGCGCCCCGACCGGGACTAGAACCCGGTGTGCCGGCGCCGCAAGGCGGAGAATTAGCCTGTTGAGCCACGGCACCGGTCTTCTTTGAGTCTTCTTTGCTTGTCTCCCATCTGCCCCGCTCTATCTCCTCCCTGTTTTCCCCACATCTTTCAGCTCTTGCAAAAGATGCTGGTTTTAATTCAGGGCAAACCCTGCCCCCAAGGACAATTTTTTTTTAAACCATTTTCTGAACTCTCCTATTGTGAAGTGGATTTTATTTTCTGCTCCTGGGTGTGGTAGTTGTCTTACTCTCTGAAACACTTCTGCAGTTTCTCTTATATGTGTTATCTGCATAGTCTTTGGATCACCATTTTAACAGTAGAAAATGCATTAGCATTCCCTTTATAGTGAACAAGATTTTTTTTTATTGTTCATTGTTTAAAAAGTTTCTTTCAGGGACCACCATCGCTGTGGCTCCATGTTAATCCTCTGCCTGTGGGGCTGGCATCCCATTTGAGCGCTGATTCCAGTCCTGGTTGCTCCTCTTCCAGTCCAGCTCTGTGCTGTGGCCCAGGAAGGCAGTGGAGGATGGCCCAAGTGCTTGTGGCACCTGCATGGGAGACCAGGAAGAAGCACCTGGCTCCTGGCTTTGGATCGGCACAGCACCGGCTGTGGCGGTCATTTGGGGAGTGAACCAATGGAAGGAAGACCTTTCTCTCTGTCTCTCTCTCTGTCTATATCTCTACCTGCCAAATAAAAAAAAAGTTTCTTTCAGCTTGTTTTTAGTAATGATATGTACATTTTCAGTTTTGTCAAATTTGGCAAAACTTCTATCAAGTTGCTTTCATATGTAAGAGTAAGAGCTGGAAGAATTGGAAGTAAGAGTTGGAAGAATTTCTTGAGTGGCTTGTGGTCTCCATATGTCTCAGTACGTGTCTTCCTCCACTGCGTGCAGACACCTGGCTCTGGGTATGTAGGATTTGTCCTGTCATGGTGCGTCCTGAGTTGTATGTTGTGATACTGGATGAGTCAGTACTGTAGCCTTAGAAGTCCCAGAAGCCATTCTCCCATCAGCAGATTCACTTTGCTATCTCAGAATGGACTGAATCCCCACATAGATCCCACTACATCCAAACCAAATTATTCCCAATTCAACTCTCCTTAGGGTCCCCAGGCCACTCCTATATCACCTCTCATTAGGGGAAATACATTGGAGGGGAGTCAGAATAGATACTGATTAAAACATCTTTTGCAGATCTAAAAAATATCTAATTGAGCACATTGTGAGGCCCCCAGAAGAGAGGCCGGGACCTTTTATATCTGTCTGCCTGTGGGGGATGAGCAAAGGGGAGGGAGCTGTCCTCTTGGGGAGGTTGCTGGCAGCACGTGCTGTGTTTGAGAAATAAACTGGGTGTGCTACACTGGGGTCAGGGAGGCTTTAAGCTTTCTGTTTGTGTGAATAACTCCCAGCCCTAGGTTTGAGTGTCCAGGTAAGCTTTATCTCTGCGAGTTCACCTGCTTCACTGGGAACTGAGGTGGGGGTGGTTGTGGTGGAGAAGCAGGCTTGGAAGGAGATGCAAGCGGGGAGTCTTGGGTGTACCTGGCCCAGGAGCTCTCTGTCTTTGAGGTTCTGCAAGGCCTTGGGACAGATATATTTTCTCAAATAGTTTCCTATTAACCATAGTTCTTTGCAGATACAGAAGACATTGAATAATTAGTTTTCATTTAATATGGCACTGAGCTTTTTTGAACTTTTATTAAGAGAATAAACATAGATGACTAATAAACCCATAGACATCCTCAAAAGTAATCATATCATTAACTAAATCTTACTTCATCAATTAAGTGTTTATCACTTGTTACTTAATATTTATTTCATTTAATTTCTTTTAACATGTAGCAATGAGGTATGAAATATTGAAGTAGCTTCTTTTTTCCCATGAAAAAATAGACAAATTGATTTATAATTATAATCAGCTTGACTGCACACACTAATTTGGGGGGGGTTGCTTTAACCCACATGTGGAACCTCACTACCCTTGGAGAGAGCTAATACCATGAAATAGAACTAATCTGTGTGTCAAATGATTATGCAACAAATATATTTATAATGCTATGATTTGGTCTAAGAACATGCATCAGTTATTGGCAGTGATTTTAAAACCTCACAGGTGCCTAGTAGTGAATACCGGTATACTGTATCTATCTATCATTCGTCTATCTATACTATTGCATTTTGTGACTGTGAGAATGCTTGAAAAGCATCAACCGCTACGTGGAAACACAGTACAAATAAACCAGGAACAGTCAGCCCCTCAGAATCCCATCTTCATTTGTATTTCTGAGGGCTGCTGTAGCAACGTTGTCTCAAGGAGCTTATACAACAGAAATGTATTGTCTTACAGTCTTTGAGACCAGAAGTCCCAGAGCGAAGTGGTGGCAGAGCTGCCTCCTGCCGAGCCCGAGCTGGAGCTCTGTTGCATTCCCTCTGCCCAGCTTCTGGTGGTTTGCTGGTCACCTGTGGAGTTCCTTGGCTTGTGAGCAAATCACCTTGATCTTTTCCTTCATCCATACACAGCCTTTCCCACTGTATATCTGTCTGTTGCATTTGTGTGTCCAAATTTCCATTTAAAAAAAAATAAGGACATCAGTCAAACTGGTTGAGGGCCCACTCGACTGACTGAATTTTAACTTGATTTCTTCTATTCTCACTCTATTTCTATAGAAGTC